ACACTTCGTAAGCTGGGCTGTTCTTTATTCCAAGAATTTTATCAACATTGTAGTTTTGATGAGGACAGTGCTCACAACAAGGTTTTGAATTGCCCTGCCAAAACCATCTGTGTGGTAGAAGGTATTGTGTGAAACATCCCTGCAGGGCACTTTTTAGTTGCTCCAGTGGGCATTATTCATTATTTCTCAAAGTGTCTCTACTTGTTTTCTTTTGCTTTCCTTGCTGTCCTGACTAATTTAGCTCTTACTTGTTATTGCCTCTTCCAGAATTATTTTCAGCCTTAATGAATTTGTGAAATTTAACAACTCCATAGTTTTAAATGGCGTTTCCTTTATTTGGTGCTTCCTCCTTTATTTATGTGTTTACTACTGAAAATAGAAATGGGAACTCAAGTTTTGCATTTCAATTTAATTTGTAAAATTTCTGATTGGATACTGCCCTCCTTGTACGTTAAAAAACTACCACTGAAGCCAGTGGAAGAATAGCTGGACAAAGAATTCAGGATCATGTCCCCAGATAATGAAGAGAGGAAATAAAAAAGACCACTTTATGTATTCTTTAAAAACAAACAAACAACTTTGTCATTTAATTTGCATTTAAGGGCCACTTTGGGCTGTTCTTGTTCCATGCATCTTTTTCTATTAGGAAATGTTTCTTATCTATTAGTTTCTCTGTAATCTTCATGTCCACAAGACTCAGAAGTATATTGATGTAATTTTTAACCCTCCTTTTCTATTATACTTTGGTTTTACTTCTTTTGCCATGTAATCACTCTGTGGTAAAGGATATGTTTGAGTAACAGAGACTTTCCCTCAAAATCATACTCTGAGTACTTTTTCCCTTAAATTAGAAACAGAGCAACAATGTCTAGATATGCTAGACATTTTGATCATGTGATCTTCACTCCCTGTGTCTGGAAGTCTGTTTCATTGTCAGAATTCTATAATGTCATCAATGTCACTTTCATGCTCTGTAATCTGTCTAAGGACCTGCTTAGCTACATATCGTGCCCTGTGACCTTTGTTAATGACATCTCTAATTTAGACAAAAGTCAAATGGTGGCATATTTCAGTGTCTTCTCTGCAGTTCTGTTTAATTCTTACAGTTCTAGGTGCCTCTTAAATAGAAAGTGATTGAAACTTACAATAAATTTATATAGATGAAATCTATCAGAAGACTGAGGCAAGCAACATTTTTCTGATTAGAGCATTGCGTATTGCTAAGACAATCATTTGGATGCCAGTAAGAAAAAATGAAAATTATACTTATGCATGTAATCATGCATATATGTCTGATATGTGTATAGTTGTATGTTGAGTATAAATTCAAACTAAGGGTGCTTAGCTTGAGATTAATGGCACAAAATCAGGCTCCCCAGGATAATAATGATTTTTTAACACGGTGCTTTGGTAAGCATCTCAAACACCATGAGTGGTATTTCCTAAATTAAATAAAAGAGAATTTAATCTAAAATCTTCAAACCTTGGTGACTACAGTTAGGTTCCTGAATCTACCTACAGGTGGCCCATTAAAAGTTTTTCTTTTTTTCTGATTTGTCAAGAGTTGTGACTATCTACAAGTCCCACTAGAGTTGGTGGGAATTTCAGAGGATCTCCACCCAGGAAAATCAAGCCACTTCTATTGAGGGGCTAAAATATGAATTTAGAGGCCAGACTTCACGCACTTGAATTTGAACAGTTGAACCATTTTGATAAACTGATTATTTTATGAGAGTGTAAAGTAACTGTTTTTCTAGTCTCAGTCTGAAATGCCTTCTCAGTTTTCCATCTTTTGATATGTTATGGAGTGCTCCTCAATCTCACTGAAGTTCAACAAATCCACGTAAAAGCAGAAATCATGGCAAGCTACATACTAATTGCAAGACAGCTAGCCATGCAATATGTATGCATATCAATCCCAGAGCTGATCATTATGACATCAAATTACATAAGTACACTTTTGTTTTCTCTCCAGGTAGCTTCACTATATGGCATACAAGTTACATTGGCCATGTTACTCAAGAATTGTGAAACCATGTGTTTATGCAGATTATCCCAAACAACAAAAATCTTAGCACCAAACTTCATTATGTATCCATGAATGTAAGAACAGTTTGCTTAGGCAATTCATAATTTTAAAACTGCTTGCCTACTGGCATTATTATTCATATATTTCTACCTGCAAAATTCCAAAATTATACTATATAAAGGTGTAATTGCTGTATATTTGGCTAACCTGGTATCCTGTGAACTTCTAGGTCTACATACACTGTACAGTTATGGGTCAGCAGAAGGCATAGAGTCCTTCTTCAAAGGGATAACTTACAAATATTTTTATCACTGGTAATTCATTGTATACATAGTGTCACTGATCTAGACTACAGCACTACATATAAAAATGTCACCTGATTTCCATTTAGAGGCAAAGAAGTATTTTTGTGTCAGGTTCTTTTATAACTGAAAAAATGGGAGCTGTTTGAAATTTGCTGCAAGGTTTGGAATATAAGAACTAGTTCTGGCTGAGGTGGATTTGTGGGCAAAAGGTAAGTAGAGAGACAAACGAGAACTGGCCTTTGTTTTGTCTTAAGTTTATCATGTATATTTAGATATAATGAATCAACTGCATAATTATCTGTTATACATACACATCCAAACACCTGGGAAACCTGGTAATTATAATCTCATAAGGCACATTTATCTTATGTAGACTGTTGGAATTAGGCTGATTCTAAATGTAGTTAGTAGGTTAATTTTTTAAAAATTCACAAAAGTGCAGTTTTTGGCTGTTTTGAAAATTTGGCTATAAGTGACTTTTTCCAAGTCACTTTGTGAGTTAGTGGAAAAGCTGAAACTAGAACCCAGGTGAACTGAGCCCTGCTCCATTGCTTTAACTGATAACACACAGCCAAAATTCTTATCTAAAGTAAAAACACAGCCTTTTTATTTTGTCTTGTCAGAAGCAAAGTGGGCTGCACCTAATTTTAATTCCTAAAGAATCTGCTTCATTGATACTCTAAGTATCCTTCAAATGCAGTAACTTAAAGTGTCATTATTTCCTGAAGAAGTTACATTTAGAGGGGCTTGCACAGCCTTACATATCCCTTACCCACACACTAGTCCTTTGCCCTTCTTCTCTGTAGTCAGATGTTGTTTCTGACAGGGTGCGCCTCCTCTTCTATTCCATATACTATTTCTTTTAATAGGCCAAAAAGCCCTACTACCTTACTCCTCTCTCTTGAAACTTCCCTTTCAAAGTGGGTACTTGTATGAATAAAGTGAAGTAGGTAAATGCTTTGCTGTAATTTTACATCAAATATTACAAAATAGCAAACTCATCACTTTTATTTATTTTAAATTACACCTTTTGTGAATAAGATAAATGGAAAATATTCTCTATGGTAATGTATACAGAGGGAAACTGTAGTGCTGAAATATTATGGAAATCTACATAGGGGGCTGATGAAGTAAGGAAAACTGGAACTGCTTTTAAACTGTCACTATATGAACCGTGAAGAAAACACCTTGAGTCAAATTCTGTTCTCAGGCCCCTATTCAGCAATGCACTTAAGAACAAACATGACTCCACATTATTCAGCAAGTAAACTATTCAGAAGTCTCTGGCTGCTTTACTATTTATTCCATCCAGGAAAAGCACACACCAGCTGCAGATGCTTCCTCAGCCTGGTGAAGGGCATTTATACCAGAAAGCTTGCAAAGAAGAATTTTTCCAACTATTTAAGTTGCTTTAATAAAAATATATCAGATTTACCCAAAGAACCTTGTCACACTATTCAGCAAGGCATTTAAGGACATCTTTAAATCTCATTCATAGCATCTGATGAAGTTAGCTGTGGCCTAAGAAAGCTTATGCATCTCTGAATGACTTAGTCTTGAAGTTGCCACCCTGCCTGCCTTTGCATGGAAGATAATAGGGATATTTGGCTGAATGGGTCCTTAGTTGAGTGAAATTACTTGAGAACAAGACTGAAGTTCCTGCAATGCTAATGGAAGAGGCTATTGCTGTTTTCCCCTGTTCAGTCTACTAGACCTAAATCTATTTTTTAAAGTTTGGTTGGTTTGAAAAATAGACATTTTATGAATGATCCACTGGTAGAACAAAGATACAATAATGATAATACTGGGCTCATTAATGAAATTTACTTTTGGAAGCAAATTATCTCCCAGAGACACTGTGCTGTTTGCATTTTTTTCATGTTCTGTGATACTTGTTTTGGGTCTTCACTTTAACTTTGGCCCATTAGAACATCTTTGGTTGTTTCAGTTCCTCACCTTGAATGGTGAAGGATCTGCACTCCCCATAAACTTATGTGGATCTGATTCTTAGAGGAGTACAAATATATACTCAAGTCCTCCCAGAAAGATGCAAATTATAGATGTTCAATTGACCACAAACCTGTCTCATTAATATAAAGAGGGGAAGACAAACAAAGGGTTCTACCTACTCTCATTCAGAAATACAACTGAATTTCCAGTTAAGTAATATCAGCAAAATTAAGGTGTTTCTCCTAGAAGTGTCTTTAATAATAACCTGAAATGATAGGGGAGGTGGATTTGGGGTTTCAGTTTAGAGTTGTGCATTCTCACAATTCTGCTTTATGTCAATCATAATCACTTTTCCCCTAACCACAAATATCACCAGGCTGAATAAGAGGGCAGACCCTTCACAATCCTTTCAATCAGTAATTAAGAAACTCATGTAGGGAAAATTCCATTTTTTATTTTTTCACTCATCATTTATTTACAAATACACATTATAACTTTTATATACATTGGACATTTACATGGTAGAAAAGTACAAAACTATATATTTAAATGAATTTATATTTAACTCGCCATGTTTGAAAATATAAAATTGCATCAGAAAAAAAGTATTATGAAAAGCAAGAAACTTGAACTGATAAAGCTTTGATATAACTTTTAGTGACATGTTGATTGGAAAAATAACTTTAAAAGTGGTACTGCAGGACCATCTTAAAGGAAACATCTCATAAAGCATTTATGCATGTTACAAAAAATAAAATAAAATAAAATAAAATAAAAACTTTATTTTCATTACAGTTAGCCATGTAGTTATTAACAACCTTCATAATCCGATTTCTTTGGGTCCAGAATTCTTATAGTACAGTATAAATGCTTAGCACATTGAGATCACCTCAGAACATGATGTGATCAGAAGCAGAGAAAAGTGAAGTTTCCTTAAAGATCGCCTCACTGCACCCTGAAAGTATATTTAAGTCAGTTACAGCGCCTTTTGGTCAGTCAAGATTCCTTGTAAACAAAAACCCGAGGGATCTTTTATGTACAGAATCGGCAAGAAGAAAATCCAATAAATAAACATGACAGAAACTGACATGCAAGTTTGTTAAAATGGTAAAGAGTTATCATGGGTGAATCGAAGAGATGAGTCATGTGGGTAAGATCTAAGGAATGGACTTTTATAGTTTACAAGAGAAAAAAAAAGCTTTACTTTACAAGCAAGGGACCTCACAATAAATAACACTGCTCTTCCTGTAACGAATAAATTTCTTCAAAAAACAAGGTGTACAGTCAACCAGACATTTTATGTATAAATTATAAAACATGACACAGTATAAATAAATGTCTACAAGACTCAACTATATGTATACTTTTTTTCTCCCCAAAATAAATAAGCATACACTTATTTACAGTATGGACATAGATTTCTTGCCCAATGGCTGTTCCAATAGTGATGGAGGTTTTACCACTCTAGAATGGAAGAAATAGGAAAGGTGTAGTCCTGGTCTTCCTCTTCCTCTTCTTCCTCGGGGTCTTCATTAATGGCTAGATGGGGGAATATAGGGGAGCTGTTGTTTAAATAAGGACAACAACAGCGCAGAAGCAGCTCAGTGCATGTTTTCAAAGCCCTCTGAACAGCCATAATACAGCGTTGCATTTTTATGTGACTTGTAGTGAGATGCTCTTTGGCATCTGCTGTTATGTAATAAGGTTTTTTTTTTATACATAATCTATGAAGTCATAACTGCAGAAAGTTCTGAAGAATCAATGGCTCAGGTTTTATTGGCAGATTCCTGAAATCAAATAAAAAGCGCTCTTGTGGTCTAGGTTTAACTGCTTTGTGTCCTTCATTCAGAGTTAGTAGAGGCAACTGTGTTAAGACAGCCACCCATGTGCTAACATTAAACTTTTTTTTTGATGGAGTTAAAGTATATCCAGGTGTTAATAAAGCAACCAGCAAAGCACACGAGAGCAAACAAATTAGGGGAAAAATAACTAGAAAGATGTTCTTAGGGCAACCCCTTGCTGATAACATGACTTTTCCTCAAAAAAAGGTGAAAGCCAACTGACTGTTTGACGATCTGCTGCAACCAACCAATCACATAAGCGTGTGTATAATATATATATGTCATATATACTATATATATATTAAATCTCCAAATGAAGTTCTTTTATATTTAAAAGCATAAGTCTTCATTACCTAGGGATTGCCTTCAGAAGCCATAACTGTTTGCAAGGTTAAAAGTCTCACTTACAGTTGCAAGATCCAGAGTGCTTTACTTCTAAAAGCACACCCGAGGAGCAGGCTGCTTCTTTCATGGCACACTCGCTTGGGTAAGTTGTGTTATCACTGGCACAGACTGCTTCATCTGATTTGTTTTCAGGGCACACTTCATCACAGAGGGCACACCGACCTCTGCCAACCTTGAAATCCCACAAGCATTTCTTCCCAGAGCTGCACTGGATATCTTCACAGGACTTTGCTTCTAGAGATATAAAAAAACCAGACATGAGTAAAAGCAAAACACTTTGCCTTCTCATACCTACAGGATTCAGAGAAGACTTGGAGGAAGCTTATGGGTCAGATCCTGCCTGCTATATTCAGACATGTCATCCTTCTGGGAACCAATATAGCAGTGCATTGTCAGGGGTTTGGGACAGAAGCAAAGTAAGCAGGATTTGTCCTTAGGAATGTGGAATGATATTTGCCTGTTGTAAATGTCAGAGGGTGCTTCCTTGCTTCCAGGGAAATCGGTAGGAATTCTTCCTTCCCCATGACTCGAATGAAGTTTAGAGTTTTCCAATTCATGAAGTATTCCTCAAACCAGCTATTTTTTTTAAATCTAACCATCCTAAAATAGTTGGGTGCCTGATGATCTACAATGCATCCTTCCAAATACCTGTGAGATATTTCAAATGCAAAGATTATCTTTTGGAGCTGAAGTTACCCGAAATGTGCATGATATCAACATCCTTATTGCACTGGCCATCATTGTAGGTATTGATACATGCTGTTGGAAGGCATTGTGATGATACTCTTATCTTTCCCTGCAACACTGTTACTAACAGGAGATTTTTAGGAAGGAAAAAGGGATCAGATGTCCTGAGAGACATTATGTCATATTTGCCCAGACCACTCAATCCAGAGCAGCTGAGTGCTGAGCACTGTGTAGCTGTATTTCACATCTATGATGGACTCTATGCCAATTCTTTTGGTAGCAGGAGCAAAACTCACATGGGTAGCAAGGGAAGCTGGATTGAGCCCTTCTGAGGGTGGGACTCTAGCAGTTTTCACTCAAGCAAAACCTTCCTTGAGTAAAAACTGTGGGGATTCAGTCTTGGGAAAAGATCTGCCTCCACAAAGTCACTTGCAGGAGTCTTGAGAGACTTGCTAGGAAGAAGCATTCCCCATGCTCCCACCCTCCTAGGACATGTCATGATACCTACTGATACATTTTCCCTCGTAGGCTAATCCAATGGATCTGCCCAGTAGGCAGGTAGCCTTCCTCAGGTGGCAAGCACTAGCGTATGTTATTCCATCGTTCCCACAGAGATACTGTTCAGGGGAAGTAGGCTCCGGGCAAATTCGATTACATGTCACGCAGTAGGCATTATTGGTTTGATCAACCACACACGTGGAGCTGCCTGGACATAAAACATCCCTACAGGTCTCTGAAATAAAGACAGAAACACGCAATGATTAATAGGAAATCCCACCGCCCAGCCGGGGAGTGACATGTGCGACACAGTCAGACAAATGCCAGAGTAAAAGCCCTTGGCAGCTTCCCTCAGCAAAAGGCCACTGGCGAGAAGCTCCAGGTCTCAGGGGAGCTGGTGGGAACACAAGACTTGGGGGGGCTTCTCAATTCAGTACCTTCTCGCCTCTTGAGCCTGGTTTATTTATTGCCTCTCTACATTTGGACCAGCCCTCTGTGGATTGCCAGGCCAGCTCCTCCTCCTCCCTACATCCATACACACACCCGGAAGCATTTGGGGGGCGGGGTGGGGGGGCTGGGTTAGATTTGCAAACCTACTTTTGCATTTGCCCTGATACTGGACTTCAAGTTCAGGCTGCTCTTTACATCTGGCTTTGAGGAGGGCACACTCGTTCCTGTAGGTTTTCCCATCTAAGCCACACACGGGGCCCTTCCAAGTGATATTAGAGCAATCCGGAGCACAAACACACCGGGGTTTGTTCTTCTTGTTCATTTTACATTTCTTCCCAGGTCCACAGTCCACGTTCTCACATGTTTCTAAGGGGGGAAAGAGGTGTCCTATTAATGCCCGGCCGCTGCCCAGGCTCCCTGGCCATCCCGCTCACACCACCAGCACAACCCGACGGCGGAAGGCGAGAGAACAGGTTCCTCCCAACCTTTTCCCCAGCCAGAAAGGAAAACGTGAGCTCCATCTGCCCCCGACAGCGGGAGAGGCTGCTCGCTGCTCCCGGGCACGCATCCTTTTTAAGCGGGGTCCCCAGGTCCAGGAACCCCCCCACCCCGCCCCAAACCGTGGCGGTTGTGCGATGAGCTGCCCTCCCCAGCCCCAGCCCTCGTGGCGGGCTCCCCCCGCCCAGGCAGGGGCTCGGACCTCACCTTTGCACGGGATGCAGTTTGGGGCGCCCCCATTAAAAATCATCCACTTGAAAAGCGTGTTGTCGTTGACGTCTTCTTCAGTCCAAGAAGTCGTGAGCCTGCCCGTTTTGCAGCACTCCTCCTTGCTGAGATCAGTCTTGTACAGGACCTGGCAGCGGCCGTTCCTTGCCTGCCGTAGCCAACAATTCCCAGCTGCAGGAGGGAGAGAGGGAGAGGGAGAGAGAGCCCCAGCCATATCAATGTCAGTTACCAGTGACCCAGACACAACACGTGCGGCTTGCATTGACTTTTACTAGACTGTTTACTTTTATTTGTCCCGTTTCATAACCCGCAGCTACTCTGGAGCAATTGGGAGTGCAGTTTAAATAACCTGATCCAAACAGGACGAGGCGGTGTTCCGAGGTATTTATTCCATATGGAGAGCAGAGGGACTTCCACGCACATGACAGGGGGCTGCAAGGGATGTGCATTTAAAGAGGCAGACGAGAAAACCACGCTTGCAAATTCTTCTCCTTCTACAAGCCTGCACCGCACCATTGTTCTCGGGCTGCACGGGGTTTTGCAATCTGCGGGAACAGGCAACGTTTCGAAGTCTTTCGAAATCTGGAAATTGTGCTGCATTTCTTAACAAAAGTCTTTTCTTTACTTCAGGGGGCAAAGACCCCCAAAGGCAGAGGGCGGCGGGGGGTGATCGTCAAAGATCCTAAACTACAGGGGCACAGAGACGGAAGGCCACTAAGGAGTTTAGAAAGCGGGAGAGCTGGAAAAGTTATAGGTGCCCTCTCTTCTGCAAGCGTTTCCTAGGGAAGTGCCCTGTCCTTAAAGCGGACAGAGATTTTCCCCCCTCCTATCTCTGTTAGTCATGGATGCACGCCAAGAACATTAGTCCAAGCAACTCCCCCTTTTTTAGTTGGAGAGTTTTGGTTGGGATGAGCCTCTCGTGAATAACCAATGTGACTTCTCCAGCAACTCAATACCAATTGATTCTGGTGCTAATCCAGCAGGGGCTCGATCCCATCTCCTTAGTCCACTGGGACTTTTGCCGCAGTGAGGGGTGTAGGATCGGCCCCGAGGAGCAATATTTCTGGGCTAGGGGAAACTCTTGTCCCCAGGAGTTGGAGCTGAACAAACAACACCCTTTAGAAAACAGTTGCCCCCTCCCAACTCAAAGGAAAGGCTGAAGTCAGTTTTGAGCGCCTTAGCGTTGTCTACATAAGGTTAACCTACATATCCAGCCCAGCGACCAAAAAATCAATAAGAAAACGAACAGCGGTAAGTCATCCAGGTTGTTGATGGAGGGTGATAAAGCTGGGGGGGGGAGGGGGAGGGAATCAAGGAAACAATATTCCCTCGTGTAGCCAGGAAGCTCTTACAGTTGTCAATATCAGAGTCTGGGGGTCACATGGAAAACTTATTTAAACACATTCCCCAACTGTAGAAGAATTTACAGCCCCCCAAAAATCATTCACAAAAAATGGGGGTGGGGGGGAATCCCAATCCCCATAGTAAAAGCGTGTCCGGGGGGAAAAATGACTAATATCTCTGAGAATGTCAGCTGTAACCGTGGGGCTCCTCTCCACCCCCATTCTCCTGGGCAGCAGTCGAGATAAAAAATCTGAGCTAAATTAACAACCCCCCCCAACCAAACAAAACAAAACAAAACAAAACAAAACAAAAAAAAAACTTTTGAGCACCGATTTGGATTCCGGGACTCAGAAAGTTGCCCGAGATGCTGGTGCTCATTCCTGGTGCATAACAACAGTAAATAGCAATCCTCATCCTCCTCATCTCTCCTCTGTACTACGTACAGCGGCCGGGAGATCCGATCAGAAATGGATCTAAATGTCACCTCCGTCTATTCGTACAAAGCAATCCTATTCCCACGGCAAACTTCTGTCGCGCTGCACCTTGGAGAGAGGCGTTTAGTGGGAGAAAACTCAATATGGAAAGAAAAAAAAAAAGAAAGAGGACGGAAAATGAAGCACAGCTACAAATAAACAGTCTCCTCTTACCCTGCACTGTGTGTTCGTCCATGAAGTGGCACAGAAGCATCAGGAATAAAAGCATGCCCGGGTGGATTCTCTGATTTAACATCCTCAGTATCCCAGGGAGTGAGAGAGGCACCGAAACAATCTCAAGTGGAGCAGAGAGAGACGCAGACAGACAGACAGACAGCGAGCACTAGTCAGTCCGCGTATGATCGCTCTATTGAATGAACGTCAGGCTCTGAATGCAGTCTCTCTTTAAATCTATAAGGGGGTCTTAGCTGTCTGCGGTGGGCGGTCTCCTAATGTGTGTGTGTGTGAGTGTGCGAGTGTGTGTGTGTTCGGGGGTGGGGAGATTTAAAAAGTTCAGTGTGAATCAGGTGACATTTTCCACCTTCTGGAAACCCTTTCCAGTGATCGGTCGGAGGTGCACACACACGCACACACACACGCACGCACGCACACGCACACCCTGCCTCGGCTCCCACCCGCCAGAGGGGCTCGCTGGAGTTGTTTGCGTAGTAGCAGGAAGGAGTGTAAAACCCGAGTGGTAACTGGAGCCGGGCGGGGGGAGAGCCGAGCCCTCCACTGGTGTCAGCAATAGCAGGAGGCGCGCACGCGCGGGCCGGGGGTTATCACCCGAGAGCCGGAGCCGTGTCACGGGGGGGGGGGGAGGACAGGCGTGACCCCCCTGGCCCCAAGCTCCTCGGAGAAGCCGGGTGCTGCGCAGGGGCAAGGTGCTGAAGTCGGGTCCCGCTCCCGTCGGTGCCATCCCGGCAGCCCGCCGCTCGCCCGCGCGGGTCCGGTCCCGGTCCCGGTCCCGGTCCCGGTCCCGGCTGGGTCCCGCCGGCTTGGCCAGGCTGCGCCCGGAGAGCCCGGGCTGCGGGGCGACGTAGGCGGTCTCCTTTCAGAGTCAGAAAAGATTGCAACATCCATAATGAACTTCGAAAGCACCAGTTTATTAAGCACAGTCTGGCATTATTCTCCCCTCAGAAAGTTGGCGGTCGCTCATTTATAACATTTTTTGGCACCGCTGAATGAAACTGAGTAGGCGATATTTCCTTCTATACAAAACGATTACTTAACGGAAAATGGTATTGTTGATTCAAAAGCTGCCTTTTTCATTCCCATCCTTTCGCTTTTCCGAGCCACCAAAGCACAACAGACAGCAAAGTATGCAGACACAAATTCTTGGGCATTGCCAGGTCACTGGGATTTGGTGCTTCAGTTCTGCCGGGGCCTCCCCGCCCCCACTGCGCCCCCC